TATATCTATTCTATATTTTTGTAAAAAACAGAATATTTTTTTCTTATAAAATATTGTCTCCTTACTTTATAAATTATTAATTTAATACAATTTTTATAGTTACGTCTTTAAGCATGGCAAATAAATGGTTACCACAACAAAAAGCAGTAAAAAATCAAGGAGTTGCAAGGAGATGATAGGAATGATACTTGCCGATGCTGATTGGAATCATGAATATCATGATATGTACTAATATTAAATTTATATATCACCAAGGCATAAAAAAAATGAAGAGAAATATTTGCATTTTTGTAAACAATTTATTTCATAAAAGAGAGAAAGATTTAACTATAAGTTATTTAACTGTTACGAGATAAAAAGATTATTGCACATACATCTCTTAAGTGACAAATTATTAATACAGTATTAACTAAAATTAAGAATTATTGAGATAACAATTACATTTACCTGATAAATTTGTCGAATTTCGTTTGTATTCGTTACTTCATCCTTGTTTCGCGGTTTGCACGGTTCTTTCAATAACGCTTGTATTAAATCGATAATTGCACTTCGACGTATTATGACGATAGTCGCTTTACAACAAACAGCGATCATACTCACGAACAATAAAGAATTGGCAACGAAATCATCGATATTATTGATAACAACAACAATGTCCATGAATTGGGTTAATGTTAAAAAGTATTGCAAGATTAGTACAATAAAAGTAAATGCATTATAGAACAGTTTAGCGCCAGTCGATGACCATTCGATAGGCTGCCATATACCACCAATGGTATACATTAAAAAATTTAGAGAAAGTATTTGCATCTTTATAATATTATAAATAAGACTTATCTTATAAAAGAGAGATTTAAAACTTATTAAATTTTAATGCAACGTATGTGACATGTGTAAATGCAAATAATATGAGTAAAGTATAAATATTAGTCACGCACTTTTTCGCTTTGCACAGAATAGAGGCACAAACGTAATTTATTTCGCTATCGGAAAGATAATTAAATTATAACTATGTATAGTCGAGCATGTCTTGCGGGAGACTATGTATGACTCTACCTGCTTGCTTCGGCTTTTAGATTCTAAAACCGTCAATTAAAGTAACTAGCAACCCAGTATAAAGTCGTTTATTACAGTGTATGTTATTTTCAGCTTATATGAATACTGCAGTCACAGTCGCTTTATTTGCAACGATCGAAGGTTGTTGTTCTTTGCAATCAAACATATTGTCATATTCTCATCGAATAAAATATTTGTACATTTTCATGTTGTCGGCAGCAAGCAAATAGAAAACTATATATTTCTGCACATGCTTGACTTAATTATGTAAAAGTACAAAACGACGAGGGATAAAATGTACATGTATATCATACATTTAAATGTTTCCCAAGTTAAATGCTTATACATCTACTTGCTAAGTATGATGAGGGTGCCGCAAAATTATGTAGCAACTCTAATATATTTTTACAGATTATATCGCAGATATACTATTGGAAAAGTGATATCTTCCTTTTTTAAATAATGTTCAAATCAAAATCATTGTTTATATATATATCGGATAAAACTATTGCATTGTTTTATGGTTACGTATTTCTACTCAATATATGTATATGTGTGTACGGATGTATGTGTACACATGTATAAATATTTGTAGATGTTTGCATCTTGCAATCCTGCGGTACTTTTTATATATCAATTTTATATTACGATATCTGTTTTGTATAGTTGCTTTTTGCCCGACTGTGTGTGTTTCTATTCTCAAGAATAAATTTCGGCAGTCATCATCAGTATTTCCGTATGTGTATTTATGTACGAATTCTATATACATGCATCATGGTTTCGGCTTCCGTGGAATTCATGTTTGCATATTTTGTCTCACGCTCTTGCTTTATACCAATCACATCTAAATAACTCATTCTTCGCGAATCCTTCAACACCGTCTCTGGTTTACGTTAAAAGCGACAAACATATTCGAACGCATTTTATTATTTATTTCCTCGAAGAGAAGAGAATCTGAAAGTGAACGCATCGGATTTTTCTTTTTTTCGTGGAACTTATATTTTTCGCATCATCTGCATCCATTTGACGCTTCAAAGCTTGATAGCCGCATCTCTGACTTGACGTCATTTCCGGTATCTCTTCTAACTTGCCGCCACATTCATGATTCGTGAATCAGGATCGTGGATCTCGTGTACGGAACATTTAATTATATCATCAAGAGTAATATCGTATGTACAGGTAAAAATATATATGTTAATTGAAAAATACGTAAATGAGAGGGGAATGATATTGAAATAAATGAGAAGTTACGTTAAATTTAAAAACTATAGCTATATATATTGCATTGCACAAATATTTCTTGCATTTACGTTCCCTTCTTATGCCTATAATTCCAATTCTTTTCTTATATCTTTGATCTTTATCGCTTATGTTTTATCTCTCACAGATAAGTTTAATGTCATTTATTACGTAAAATATCACTGTACATTTGCAAAATTATTAAATCGCATTTTCTGTTTTCTCTCTATGTATATGAATGTGCGTGTATATGTGTGTGTGTGTGTGTGTGTGTGTGTGTGTGTGTGTGGTGCGTATCTTTATTTAAACCATTTGAATAAATAAGAAGGAAAATAAACATTTGGCAAGTACATTGGTTAGCTGGTTAGCCGAATTTTTCATCAGTTAAATGCATATTTGTATACTGTAATGTGTATTATATTATTGTTGTGTTTTACTACAAAGTAAATAGTTTTTATTCTCGATAGTAAACATAAACAGTAAACTCGATAGTAAATCAACAAATTTCATTATTCAAAATAAAAAGAGGCAAACAGAGATGATAACTTTAGATACTAAAGGTGCCAATATTCTTACAGATTCGCGCGCGCGTTAATAAAAAATATATAAGATTGAGATAAAAATATATATTGTCAAAGAAATTTTAACATTTGAAGTCAGTGACTTGCTACAGAAGCTATACTACGCATTTTCGATTACTTTTATATCTTACGACTGCAACACGTTAAATACCGAGTACGAAGTTTTCAAAATCTGAAAAAATTGAAGGAAAAATAAAAAATTGTAATACTTACTAAAAACTCGAGGATTCTAAACCGTGTTTTAGACAGTAGACGAAATGCATCAATACAATATATACAAATGTTTACAATATATTTTTAATTTACTTATTTAATTAATTTAATTATATTTTTCATTGTATCAAGCATTTCTTTTATTTCAAATATAAATATAATAGAGACACTAACGTTGCTATAAGATTGGAGAGATAAAGTTATCAAGAAACTGCTAGTAAACTTTATAGGGATAGTACCGCGTATCATAATTATCAGCAGATCTTTCTTTTCGCCGACTGATAACAGAGGCCAGTCCATATGATATATCGCATCTCCTACATTTTGACTCTGTGTCAAATATCAAAAATAAAATAATTATTTCGAGACAATATCACAATAATTTATTAACAGCTCTGCATACTTTGAAAATACTTCTGCACTTATACAGTATGCAGTAGGCAATATGTTACCTAGAAAAATTAATTATAAATTAAAGATTGTTAATTAATTATTAATTAATTACAAATTACAATAAAATTTGATAAAAAGATTCCTACACTAAGCACAAATATTTTTATTATGTAACGCAGAGATTTTATATCAATATTTTTGCTCGACTATCAGGTGTGTGTCCGAGAGACATTTTATTTTTATTCACACCCTCAATGCTCTATTGATTTTAATATATGATTCTTATGTAATCGTTAAAATAGTTGGGCTCAATATTATTCTATCGATTCTAGTTATATATATTCAAATTATATAATATATAATAACAATTTAACATTTATAATGTTCTTTATCACTGCATGATGGGATGAAAGGAATTGCTTTGAGAGCTAATATAATCTCAATCGATGATAGACAAAATGGCATTTTAACAATATTTGAATTTTTAAGAATTAGAATCGTTTTTATATTTATTTCATTGCACACGAAGAATATGTATATTAATATGTGTGTATATATGTATTTGTTAAGATAAATTGTAGAATATAAAATAATCACTTACCTTAAGTATGACTTCGTTTCCAGACCAGCAATAAATGTAAATTTGTATAAACATACAGAAAGTGTACACCATGAAAGTAGCACCTTTGAATTCCATAATATGTGCTGACATATAATATACAGTTGTACATAATACCAATATACTGCTGAAGAATTGAACAAATAGCACCTGATTGAATATAATATTTACCGTTTTGGCATATCTATAATTAGAAGAATGTTATGTTAGAGTGCTAAAAAAAGAGAATACTTATAATAACAGACAGTCATTTCACATATTTTATTTCATATAAATTATACTATACTTATATTATAATTTTCCAAGAATATTGAGAAAGAACAATCTCTAACATTTTTTACTTTTTGAAACAAGATTTGCATGATTCTAAATAAAATCTGATTTTCTTTAAAAACAAAGCACATATTTCGACATGGAGCAAATGATTATATCGGTTTAGAAACTTTTTTTTTGAGTTTTTAACAATCATCTTTAAACTAATGAATGCATTATAGTTACATTACACATTTTGATTATAAATAACTTTCTATTATAAATATTAATTATTATTGTTGTAAACAGTAGCTATTTATATAGATATGACAGATTAATATGTTTAAAGATATAATATAAAAATATAATATAATAGAACATGAGTTAAATTTACATAAAATAAGAATTTGTTTTTATATGACTAACTTGTAAATGCTGAGATGATGATGTATGTATTCCGATATTATTAGTCTTCCGTTATCTGGCGGAACAGACGAGTATTCCAGACATTTAATTGTTTTGTTAGCTATTAATTTGCGAAGACGACTTTCGAAAATTTCAAACTGGGCGCACGTTTGTAAAAATAAGATATTTTATATAAAGTCTTATACTTTTAAGCATTATTTATTTGTGAGAGATAAAAAGACAAAATGCGATACAGTTTTTGAAATATATTTCGAACTATTTTGTTTTTTTATGTAATATCTATTCTATATTTTTATAAAAAACAGAATATTATTTTCTTAGAAAATATTGTCCTTTTTCTTTATATATTATTAATTTGCAATTTTTATAGTTACGTCTTCAAGCATAATAATTAAATGATTACCACAACAAAAAGCAGCAAAATGTCAAGGAGTCGTAGGGAGATGATGGGAATGATAGTTGCCGATGCTGATTGGAATCATGAATATCCGAAATGGTATGTACTAATATTAAACTTATATACCGCAAATGCATCAACAAAAATTAGGAAAAATATTTGCATTTTTGTAAACAATTTATTTTATAAAAGCGAGGTAGAGAGATTGAACTATAAGTTATTTAACTATTTCGAGAAAAAGAAATTATAGTACATACATCTTTTAAATGACAAACAATTAATACAGTATTAACTAAAATTGAGAATCATTGAGATAACAATTACATTTACCTGATAAACTTGTCAAATTTCGTTTGTATCATTACTTCATCCTTCTCTCGCGGTTTACACGGTTCTTTCAACAACGCTTGTATTAAATCGATAATTGCACTTCGACGTATTATGACGATAGTCGCTTTACAACAAACAGCGACCATAGTCACGAACATTAAAGAATCGGCGACGAAATCATCGATATTATTGACAACAAAAACGATGTCCATGAATTGGGTTAATGTTAAAGAATATTCCAAAACTAGTACAATAAAAGTAAATACATTATATAACAGTTTAACGCCAGTCGATGACCATTCGATAGGCTGCCATATACCACTAATGGTATACATTAAAAAATTTAGAGAAAGTATTTGCATCTTTATAATATTATAAATAACACTTATCTTTCCTTTAACACTGTCTTTGGTTTACGTTAAAAGCGGCAAACATACTCAAACGCATTTTATTATTTATTTCCTCGAAGAGGAGAGAATCCGAGATTGAATACATCGGAATTTTTTTTTTTTTCGTGGGACTTATATTTCTCGCGTCATCTGCATCCACTTTGACGCTTCGAAGCTTGATAGCCGCATCTCTGACTTGACGTCATTACTGGTATCTCTTCTAACTTACCGCCACATTTACGATTCGTGAATGAGGACTGCAGATCTCGTGTCCGGAACATATTTAATTATATCATCAAAAGTAATATCGTATGTACAGTTAAAAATATGTATGTTAATTAAAAAAATACATACATGAGATGGGAATAAATGGGAAGTTACGTTCAATTTAAAAATTATAGCTATATATATTGCATCGCACAAATATTTCTTGCATTTACGTTCCTTGCCTATAATTCCAATTCTTTTCTTGTATCTTCGATCTTTATCGCTTATGTTTTATCTCTCATAGATAAGTTTAATGTCATTTATTACGTAAAATATTACTCTGCACACTGCAAAATTATTAATTCGCATTTTCTGCTCTCTAATATGTGTGTGTGTTTGTGTGTGTGTGCGTATTTATTATTTAAACTATTTGAATAAATAGGAAAGAGAATACACATTTGGCAAGGATATTGGTTAGCTTGGGTGACGAATTTTTCATCAATTAAATGCATATTTGTATACTTTAATGTGTATTATATTTTTGTTGCGTTTTGCTGCAGAGTAAATAGTTTTTATTCTCGATAGTAAACATAAACAGTAAATTGTATAGTAAATCAACAAATTTCATCATTCAAAATAAAAAGAGGCGAACGGAGATGATAACGTTAAATACTGAAGGCGCTGATATTCTTACAAATCCGCGCGCGCGTTAATAAAAAATATATAAGATTGAGGTAAAAATATATATTGTCAAAGAAATTTTAACATCTTCAGTTAGTGACTTACTACAGAAGCTATAATACTACGCATTTTCGATTACTTTAATGTATCTTACGACTGCATCAGGTTAAATACCGAGTACGAAGTTTTCAAAATCTGAAAAATTGAAGGAAAGATAAAAGATTGTAACACTTACTAAGAACTCGAGGATTCTAAACCGTGTTTAAGACAGTAGACGAAATGCATCAATACAATATATACAAATGTTTACAATATATTTTTAATTTCATTATTTAATTAATTTAATTATATTTTTCATTGTATCAAGCATTTCTTTTATTTCAAATATAAATATAATAGAGACACTAACGTTGCTATAAGATTGGAGAGATAAAGTTATCAAGAAACTGCTAGTAAACTTTATAGGGATAGTACCGCGTATCATAATTATCAGCAGATCTTTCTTCTCGTTGACTGATAACAGAGACCAGTCCATATGATATATCGCATCTCCTACATTTTGACTCTGCGTCAAATATCAAAAATAAAATAATTATTTTGAGACAATATCACATTAATTTATTAACAGCTCTGCATATTTTGAAAATATTTCTGCACTTATACCGTATGCAGTAGGCAATATATTACCTAGAAAAATTAATTATAAATTAATGATTGTTAATTAATTATTAATTAATTACAAATTACAATAAAATTTGATAAACAGATTTCTACACTAAGCACAAATATTTTTATTATGTAACGCAGAGTTTTTATATCAATATTTTTGCTCGATAATCAGGTATGTGTCCCAGAGAAATATTTTATTCACACCCTCGATGCTCTATTGATTTTTATTACATGACTCATGTCTAATCGTTAAAATAGTTAGGCTCAATATTGTTCTATCGATTTTAGTTATATATATCCAAATTATATAATATGTAATAACAATTTAGCATTTATAATGTTCTTTATCACCGCATGATGGGATGATAGGAATCGCTCTGAGAACGAATATAATCTGAATCGATGATAGACAAGATGAATTTTGGCATTTTAACAATATTTGAATTTTTAAAAATTATAATTGTTTTTATATTTATTTTATTGCGCACGAAGAATATGTATATTAATATGTGTGTATATATGTATTTGTTAAGATAAATTGTAGAATATAAAATAATCACTTACCTTAAGTATGACTTCATTTCCGGACCAGCAATAAATGTAAATTTGTACAAACATACAGAAAGTGTACACTATCAAAGTAGCACTTTCGAATTCCATAATATGTATTGACAGATAATATACAGTTGTACATAATACCAATATACTGCCAAAGAATTGAACAAAGAGCACCTGATTGAATATAATATTTACCGTTTTGGCATATCTGTAATCAGAGGAATGTTATGTCAGAGTGCTAAAAAAAAGAGAGTACTTATAATAACAGACAGTCATTTCACATATTTTATTTCATATAAATTATACTATACTTATACTATAATTTTCCAAGAATATTGAGAAAGAACAATCTCTAACATTTTTTACTTTTTGAAACAAGATTTGCATGATTCTAAATAAAATCTGATTTTCTTTAAAAACAAAGCACATATTTCGACATGGAGCAAATGATTATATCGGTTTAGAAACTTTTTTTTTGAGTTTTTAACAATCATCTTTAAACTAATGAATGTATTATAGTTACGCTATACATTTTGATTATAAATAATTTTCTATTATAAATTAATTTATTATTATTGTTG